GAATGTTGGAAGAGGGAACAATTTTTTCTTTGAAAAGAGGAATCTATTACATAACCCATTTTTCTCGCAAAAAGTACACAATTTTAATAATCTGGAAACTTTTTACATTCGGAGTGGATATAACTTAAAAGCTGCAACTCCAAACTGTTTTCGATAAAAACACTTCATCATGAGTCTTTGTGTTTCTCGAATTGCCGCAAACTCTGATTCAAAGTCGTGCAGCTTTTCTTCGCCTAGTAAGCTTAGCCTCTGTTTGTCGAACGTCGGACATTCAAAGATTATGTGCTCTACTGTCTCTGCACATCCCTTGCTTTTCCTGCGTTTTTTGTCCTCTACCAGATCCAATTAAAGACCTGCTATTATCAGTCTGGAATCCCCGTTTTTTTGGTAACGAAATGCGATCTGTCAAAAATTAAAAGTTTTTTCCCACCGAAACTGTCAACAATGCAACTACATTTGCCTAAAGAACGTTTTGGGATCTGTATGAACCAATTTCATATGGTGTATTCCAAGTAAGGATTTTCAAGAGAGATTGTGAGATAAAAACATCCCAGTTAAGCCAACAGAGGAAAAAAGAAAATGTTTGGAGCAAGAGGAAGAAGTCTCGATCAAGCCGAAACTCGTAAGATTTTGAGAAGCTGGTCAACCGGCGAAATGTATGAGAATTCTATGAAAAAATGAGGTGACTTACAAATCACTTGTTTCCTTTCGGAGCAAGAAAAGCGATCCGTTAACTGATGGCAAACAGAAATTTTGTGCCGCGATGTGTGATGATGATCCACGAAATCGAGAATAATACTAATTTCGCTTTGAATATGAATCGGAATTACTGTATTTTCTGGTTTCGATTCGCTTTGGTTTGTCTTTATAATATAATTTATTTTCTAAAAAAAAGTAAGAATAAATCTCATTTTTAAACATTTTCGACTTGTTAATAAACCAAAATGTTTTGTTGTTAGCAGAGATCACAGAAATTCATCGGGCATTATTGATTTAGCGATTCAGCCTTCCGCAGTATTGCCACGACAGCAGTTGTGATTCTTCTTCTTCTTCTGGGCCCTTACAACTATTTGTTATGTTCCGCCATTAAGATGAACCGGGCTTTCACTCTGGTAAAAAACAAAAACAAGGCTATTAAGACGAAGAGCAGACAGGTCCTTCTGGACTTGTTAGGAGCGACCTTCGGTTTTGTTTTTCATCACAGCGTGCGTCGTCAAATTATCATCATCGTCCCCGTTCCTGAGACATACAAAACGACGAAATTTCAAGAGCTTAATTTGAGTACGTTGAGAAAGGAATCTGATTTTCATTTGCCTGCCGATGCTGTACATTTTAGAAAGACTTGTTCTTCGTTTGATCTCCTAAAAAGACAAAGTTCCTTACTACGTCGAAGTTATAGCGGCCAACAGTGAGCTGGGTTCCAATGCATTATTTTTCGTATGTTGCCAGCACAAACTTTGCTTTGTCTCATTCACTTCTAGACCAACCTCATTTGCCTTCTTCTCTCATCTACATTACGCCAACGGCATATGTAAGTATATGCATTACACTCTCCAGCATCAAATTGAAAAAGTCACACGATAGCGAATCGCCTAGCTTAAAACCTCGTTTAGTTTCCGCTCGCTCGGAGAGTTCCTTCCCAAAATAGATGGAGCTGAATGTTGTGCTCAACGTCATTCTACACTAGACATGGCTTTGCACAGGCAGCTTCGTTTTGTGCTATCAAAGACGGCTTGAAAATGGGTGAATATGTGGGGCGTGTTGATTTGCTTATTATTCAAGTCCATTTCCAGAATTTGATGTGTGGTAAATATTTGGACAATACTGGACTTACCACATTTGAAGCCAATCTGATCAGTTGATTCATAAAGGACTTCATTCTTTAGCACAGCAAAGTTGATAGGAACTCATAGGCAACGTTGAGAAGACTTATGTCAGGATCCGTCTTACTGTACATTGAGCACTCTAAGCTCCGCGGGTATATATTCATCAGACCAAACTGCACTTAAGAGTAGACATGTACATATAGGCGCCCGACTACAATAGCTCTCCGCCAGAAGCCTTGAGCAGCTCCGCTGCTATATCATCAGCTCTGGGGTCTTTTGTGTTTTTAAGCCCCCTTATTCCTGCGTGGGTATAATTTTTTATGCTCATACATATGTACATATGTATGTGTGCATGTGTAAATGTGTAAGTATATCCTTTTATAGTCATAAATACGCTTTGTGGCTTCAGCGCAATGCAAAATGTGACATCAATAACACGAGCTAACAATGAAATATGAGCGGCGTTCGCCATTTTGCGGATTTTTCAAATAATACCACACACACAACAACAACACACACATATGTACAAATCTGAGTTTGCATAAAGTAATAATTTAATTTAGCAAAAGTCGCTGACAGTGGAGATAATTTCAACTCAGTGAAATTTTATTTGCAATTTTTTTTTTTACAAAATTTTTTATACATAAATATGTACATATGTATGTACTTGCATTGAAAAGTGTAAATGTGTGAATATGTTTTGCACATTACTGTGCACACACATGCTTAATGGCACTTTACATGCGTGCGTAAGCTTTTCGACGTTAACCGCCAGCCATTTTGATCTCAGCCCTGTTTGGTTATCGCGTGTGCGAAATTGGCTTTCTCTGTAAAAGCATGAAAGGAAAGAATGAAGAAAAATCTGCATTGGCGGATTCGCATTATTTTTTCGGCACGTGACAACGTTGTCATTGTTACACACGCAAATCGGCTTATGCCTACACACTTACACATATGTGTATGTATGAGCGGTTGGGTGGGAGTGCAAAGATTTTTTGCTGCTGGAAATTTGCTTAATGAAGAATTATATACATATGTAGTGGCATTAAGAAGAAAAATGTTTTCTTCAATTAAATCTACAAAGCTAAATGTCAATTGTTCCAGCTAAACGGCGAAAAGAAGCGCCAAATCTAACTAGAAAAAACTAAAATAGCAACACTGGATATGTATGAGCGTCTGTTATTGACATTTTTGCTGTTAGGCAAAATAGAGTCTTAAACTTCAAGATCTTATATGCATATAACGCTTATAACCGCTGACATAACTTTTGGTCTAGCTTCTCCTCTAACGTGAGGTTCCGTCAAAAGGATTTTCATGGGGAGCTTTTCATGTCAGGAACACACTTGGAGGGGTTGATACATTCTGCCGAACGGCCAGGAAAATTATAAAGGGTGCCTTTTTCTTTATGGTTGTGTAGTTTTCAATGAGGCTATACTTTTTTCGCAGTTGGTCTTTTTGATAGCTGTTACTTGGTTTTTTTTTTTCAGTTTGGGTTGCCATTTCATAACAAACAGATTTACTCCGGAAAAAAGTTTGCGATTCGTGCAAATTTATTATCAAAATATTGGCACGGTTCGTGCGACGCATCGCGCTCTGCCTAACATTCAGTCGATGTAATCACCCAGCAGAGTCAGTCATTCGAGTAACTATGTATCGTTTTCGTACCACGCTTACTTTAGAGGATAACGCCCTCCTCAGAAACACTGTAAACTGCGAATCGAAGAAGCCATTGCTGCTGTGAAGCAAAGTATCGAAGAAGACCCGATTGAGTCCATCCACCATTGCACGTAATAATTATGGATGTCTACGTATTGATTTTATGGAAGATTTAGTGAGCTTACAAAATCAAACTTCGACAAGAAGTGGAAGCCGAACGACTATCAAGCGCATCGCATGCACGTTCGGTGAATAGGCCCAAAACAAGATTACCACCCCAAGATCTTCTAAAGCACTTTTTGTTCAGCGATGAAGCTCCCTTTTGCTTGAATGTCGCACTTGTAGGGACGCTAATCTAAAAGCAAACGAAACATACAATTTATTGAATGAAACTTTTGGGGTGCGCGTTATATTGCGTTCGTAGGCATGTGTGTCTCACTAGTCACTAGTCTTCGCAGACTAGCCCGAGACGATTAACGCCTTAGAAGAAAATATTTTGCTATTTATAGCTGAATTGGTGCAAAAAGTGGTCGAAAATTGGGCCTCTCGGCAGGAACTTGTTCGAGCTTGCCGCGGCGGTCACTTACCCGAAATTATTTTCAAAACATAACGGTGAGCTTCCATGCCATTACAACAAAAACCTTTGTTTACTTTTTCAAAGAATCCTAATAATAAAATTTAAAAAATCTTAAAAAAAATATCTAATATAAAATTGGCATTTTGTAATCGTCGAAACAACAGCCGGCCGAATTCCTCCTACAATTTGTGGTGTATGTCTATGATATTTTCCCAACAAATAGAGCGACTTACACTTTATACTAAGCCGCCTCCTAACGGCTGATGGATTTTTATGAGGTCGTGGGGCGACCGCAATAGAAAAATTAATTTATTTTTTTATTGAAATTAATTTTCTATAACTTTTTGATCGGATCACGCCTAGGACAATCATCTTCCGAACGACAGTCCGAACTACTAACCACTCGGCTAAGAGGTTGCCAAAATTAATTTTCCAGAATTGGGTTGGATGTTGTTCCGACCCGTATTTAAACCTTCTGCATGGAAGTATGCACTGCTGCATCACTCGGCTACTGCGGTCTTAGTACCAAAAAATGTTTGTTTAAGCTAATATTTACTGTCAAGCCAAAATACTTCCCAATTGGTTTGTTGAAGATGATACAATTTTTAATTATTGCAGATCATAAATTTCGACAATTTCAAAATAGTTTTACGAGTTTGGTCACGGATTTTCACTTTGACTCACATGTAGCCGCACGTTTTTTGCGCTAATTCACTTCCACTTCCATAATCTAGAATCTTTTCCAATACTTAAATCTAGACTTTTCGCCTGTTAATTAGTGGCAGACAAGCTCAGTCCAGTCGCTATTTCCACTTTTTTCTTATTTAATTTGCAATGCAAATGAATTTGGCTTTGTCAACAACAGCTTCTTCATCGGGTTATTGCGAAATCATAAAACTGGTCGTGTGCATATGATTATATACTGATTTTACGTTTGTTTTGTTTTGTTTTTTTAACTATAAAAAATTTAATTTATTTTTATCAGTTGCTAAATAACAAGTTTAAAGGTTTTTTTCACATATTTTTTTCCACTAACATAATGTATGTACATATTTCTACATATATATAATATATGTATGTGTGCACTTTCCATAAAAAGGTGAGCTATAATGCCGATGATGTTGCTTTGCTGTTGCTAGGAGGGTCGCCATAGCTTTGCGTAGTTCCTACAACCAAGCCAATCTAACTTGAACCGTTCGAGCTAGCAACAGCCACTGCTGACAGCTTAACAGAAATGTAAACTATTGAATTGTTCGCGCTGCTTATTCACCATATTATTGTATTTCCATTTATCGGCATTGCTGCAGCCGCTCGATCCTGCAGTGCGCACACTCAAACGGTCACCGAAACTCGTCGCCATGCTGCTGGCGGGACTCGAGGCGAGCGCTTGCTTGTTGATTGCCATATTGCGCATGGGACTTACATCTTTAGCCAAGGTGGCTTTGGAAACTGAACGATGTTTTTGGACCATTTTGTTGAACTTGATATAAATTCTATTTTCCTTAAAAAAAAAAAGAAACCGAAGAATGTTGTACTAGAAAAACTAACGACGATTTAACACGTGTATGAGCCGGTAGGTCGGTGGTCAATCAATTGTAGAGCTTAGAGTCAAAAGAACTTAATGTTCAATCAGCGTGTGGGTGGATGTGGGTGCGTGTGATTCAAGGTACGTTCTGCAAGAGCGTGAGTAAGGCGAATTCTAGGCGATTGCCGCAATTGGTGGTGCGTGAGCCGCCTTGCTTGGATGAGAGATGTTTGGAAAGGCTGTCGGAAGAACATTGAAATAAATTAGTACAAAAAATAAAATAAAATAAAATAAATAAAATCCAAATTAAATTTTAAATACGACTTAAACTCACCTAAGATTGTTTAATAGCTTGGCTTTGGTGTCTGCCCGGTTATTCATTGACACACAAGTTTAATTGACATCGGTTACGAAAAATATCCAATGTTAACTTGAATTTCAAAACGATGTGGTAAATGCTTTTAAATTTTTATTTATTTATTTAACTATTTCAATCGCAAATTGAGATTTTCCGCGATTGTTTTTTTTTGTTTTTTTGAACGCTTTCAACGAACTGTACGTTAGGACTTTATTCAACGAATTGTTTGGCAAAATGGTTCTGCTGCCGGATTTATACTTCTGCCTTGGGCATGTGCTCGTGGCGTGCTTGTTTTCTCCCAAATTAAAATATGGCGTTAAAAACCCGATATCTGTTTGTTTGATTTTTTTCATAGCGGCAGCGCACGTAACTTTCCGTTTTGCATGAAATTAAGCAAGAGTTTACGTGCGAAAATCAACGAAGAGCAGATACGAGGTGAGCTCGTGTCAGCTTAAAATATTCGTGTCAGCTTAAAATATTCGTGTCAGATGCCGATTGATACATATAGTACATATATATATGTTCGGTATAATGATTGTTTATAACATAGTCTCATTTATAGGGGTTTCCTAAGTGGCAACGTAGGCTGGTTTAGATGGAAAAATAATCAGATAGCATTTGCTTATATGTAGGTGGCTGCTATCGACACATTTGTTTATAAATTTTAGTCGAATCATGTCATCTTAGTCATCATTTAACTTGTTCTTATGAGTTTTTTTTTTTTTTTTTGCCAGAAAGGCCACGTGAATTGGAAGAGGGACGTCATGAATTTAAAATGTTTACGTCAACTCGAAAATACCCGTAAAGGTGCGGTTTTTGGATACTGGATTGTAAAATATGTATACGAGTAGTTGTCGTTTTATAAAGAAAAACTGATTGAAATATAATTTAAAAATGGAAAATAAATTAGTGCTTTATTTTTCACACCGATTGGTTTAATCCCCTTCGTCCCAATTTCGCTGTGCCCTATATGCTGATCCTCCATACACTATTGATGAATATAAATTAAAGTCGTGAAACGAAACTAACTGGCATGTGGCACTAAGAGAAACATTGTAGCAGATCGACTTATTAATGCAGTTGTTTACTTACATAAACAATCGACATGCTTTGATCTCGCCACCAATTAAGGGGTTACATGGGTTTCACAGCTTCAAACATTGATCGATTTTATTTATTGTCTTATTAATTTCTACAACATCTCGAGAATATTACTTTAAAATTTCAAGTCGATGCGAATAATGATTTCGGAGATACATCCTTTAAATTTTTAATCCGATTTTTTTTTCGAAACTGTGTTTTCAAGGATCTCAAAAACTACTCTAGCAATCTAGATGAAATTTTCCACAGGTCTACGAGAAACATTTCATGGTTGTTTGGTTTCGGTTAAAACTAAAAAAAATTTTGGCGAAATTTTACAAAATTTTCTTTTTTCTTTCGTTAAAAAAATCGGTCAAAAATCTAATTTTCAATTTTTTATTTTGCTTAGTCCAAGTTTTAGTTTATGGTATTAAGAAAAACACGATTTCCGTCATTCTTTTCGAATGATACGGTCATGAGTTCCACTGTCAACGCCAACGTACCTTTTTTCCGAGGGGTCACCCAGGAAAACGACGTCATATTGGCAGAGTTATGAATAATTTCCAGTGAAACTTTCAGAAATTCTTTTTTTAAGTTGGTAAATAATTTGAATTATATAGAGAGTAGAGCTCTAACTACTAGATACTTCCATCTAAAACAATTATGAGAAATTGTGGTACCATAATGTAATGAGGCGATCAAAAAAGTATGACCGGTCCCTTATGTTCATCGAAGTACATGAAACATCTAATGAAATGCGTAAAGAGGGTGTCCGAACAGGGCACTAACTACTGAACTATTGGAGGTCCAAATCGATTCATTCTGTTCTCTTAAATATGGCTCCAACTGCAAGTTGTGGCCCATTTCGGATCCGATTATCTGTTCCATTGGAAAGGTTTCACATCTCTGACCGATAAGTCATGCCGAGAGTGATTTTACGGCTTCAAAATTGGTAATTTTAGCGTCAAAGATAAAAAGAGTACTGGCTGGTCCGAAAATTGGAGGCTTTATTTGATGCAAAACGTTATCGACTACAACTAATGTGTTTGAGTCGTGCATTGCACGAAAAACCGATAAAAACGGCAGAAAGACAAGGCGACGTGATTTTGCGACATGACACTTTTTGGTTTCACGTTGCTGTAACGGTCACCTGGCAACGATGAAATGGAACCTTTTCCCCCATACTTATATTCTCCAGACCTTTCTGCTCCCAACTACTGGCTTTTTCGATGAATGCATCAAGGATAGAAAGGACTCATTTTTTGGAGATTGTATTCGAAAATTACCAGAGAGACGGGAATGGGATATTATTTTTTTTTAATTTTTTTTTAGATAAAAAAAAAACCTGTTTTGAACACAAAAAATCTGCTATTAACCACGCTTTGTCCTATTGGTCCAGCATGCCTTTAATTTAGGTCCGGTAGAGGACAATAAGTACAAGAAATACAGGATATGTGTAGAGATTGTAGAGAAAGTAATCGCTGAGTGTTCAGTGTTCGACAGACCGAGGCTAAGCTCAATTGGCGAACAAAAGCTGCTGGACTTTCCATCTGTTATTGGGCAAATACACAGACTCATGATGGAGTGTCTTTATCGAAAGCGGATTCGAGTTGCTGCTTTAAAGTTTAATCCACTTCGAAATTAATCTTGAGAAAAAATTCCCGAAATATTAGAATGAGGGCGGAAAAAAGGTTATGCTAGCATATTCTCTTTTCCAGCAATATTTCTTGTGTTGCTCCATCATTTTGTGGTATTTTAAAGCATAAAGACCTACTGAAGAAATGTTTCCAAATATAATGAAGTTGAATTTCATGAATATTAAAAGTGATAGATAACGTTTTTTTGCAATTATTGATGATGATGATTATTGATTATCGATTTTTTTATTTAAAAATACAATCTCCTGCTTGTGATCTTTGATATATAGAAATGGTGTAATATAGAAAGGAACTCCTGAGAAAATATATAATTATTTTTTGAATTTATCACATACATATGTATATGATTATAAGTATTATGAATGTATGTATCCATATTTTTTCTTTTTATTTCTGAATTTGTAATTATCCACAGCTGTGTATATCTGTTCGTATTTATGCAAATCCCTTGAATAATGCCATTGACTCTCTTGCTGTAATAAATTAAAATTTCCGAATCGTTACATGCACTATTTTACAACAATTTTACAAATCAACTTGACTGAATTTTTAGCAAATAATTGCGCCTAGTATTTTAACGAAAATTCCTTCTTTATAAAAAATACTTTCAATACCGCATTTTTGAAATAATATTAGTACACCCTAGAATTTCGTGGTGACATTTGTCTAAAACTTCCCAAATACAGAGCAGTGATTGGAGCAATGCTGTTGTATGAGCGGACTGTATGGAATTGTATGAATTTCTAATGTGGCTTTTGGTCTTTATATACTTCGTGCCACATTGAATTTGCGGCATTAATTTTTTGAAAAGTCAATTTGAATATATAAATTCATCAATGTATGCATGTCAAACGCGCTTAGGAATGATTTTTTATTAAAAGAGGAAAGGAAAAAAAGAAAATCTCCCATCTACATACTAAGTAAGACATACTGACTAAAGTGTCCGTCTGACCATACGCCCCTTCTCGCTCCGTCGATAGATTTTGATAATTTTTTGCATAACTTACACGCTTTAAAACTGTGATTTCGATTCCATATGTGTAGGTATGAGTGTATGTATATGTATGCATATATGGTGGTAGTGCGTATGGGATTTTGTTGGTAAGAAAACGGCTGATGCAATGCGACAGGTAACTTTCATCACTTACTGGTCAGCAATAACAACATTAAGCTGATAGGGGCCTCTTATGTATGGCTCTTAAATAAACAGTTTTTTTTTGTGAAAAGTAACTGATTACGAATAAACTAATAAAAAACTTATATTCATAAAAAGAGAGGTTTTCAAAGGTGGAGGTCTAAAATCAAGATTTTAGTATTTGAATTTTAAAAATTATTAGTTTAAGGGAAACAGAAAAGAAATTTAAATTGTTTCATAAATTTTTCAAATTAGTACGCTAAAAAGTGAGGTTAGTTTCCAGGGAGTTTCTACTTAAAACTCTATTCATTTCAATTCGAAGCCGTTCCCATATAGCGCCCTGCGCACTGTCAGCGAACGCCGCCAGCCGTGGTTGGAATTCGTTAATTTTATTGTTCTGTTTTTGTATCCACCTGCATTGCTCGACGGCGGCGAATAGCTGGCTCGCCGCCTTGTTGGTTGACTGGCTGTTGGCAGCAGGTTATTTCGTTGAACTGTCTACATATGTTACTATCTCTCTCGACTACACCTGACCGCCCACCGCATTTCGAGCTGAGTAAATCAGTAAACCAGTTGAGTAGCTGATTTGCATTTGTTGACTCAACAACAAATATGAGACGCGTTTAAAGTGTATTACTGCCTGTTCATTGCCCGGCTATGTGGCACTCGTACGTCTTTAGAACTGCGCTGCAACTGTCTGGTAGTTTTGCTGCAACACGTCGAGAATATTTAAGTTCGTTGTAATGCACGAGAGCACGTTAGTAAGGTCTCACAGATCCACTTAGAAGGGCGTTAGCAGCGGCGAGCAACAAAATTGAACGGAATTCGAAGCGGAAATTAACTAAAGAAAACTTGGAAAGGAAAAAGCTTAACAAAACTACAAACACAATCACACAAATTTGGCTCGAAATATCAAACTTGCTGCCCCGCTTATTAGAAAAAGTGTCGTTGTGCCCTTAAAACTTATTAAGCAAATGCACATTTGTCAGACAGATTGGTGTCAATGCTGAGTCCCTCGACCACCGATACCAAGCTGAAGCTACTGAAGTCCTTGCGGTGAGTTATTCATATTTTGTATGGCAAAATTTAAACTATAATTAATATAAATGTATTTTTCATTTTATACGCCTTAGCTTGTCTAAAAATCTCGCTGTTAGTAAAGGTTCGCGCACCGGCAATACCGCCAACAATTTAGAACTCAAAGTTCTAACACAACTCCAACACGTACCGTGAACACGTACTTGGCCTCGTCGGAAACTGTGAACAAAAGTGCAAAACTTCAGTAGACTTCATACGAATTGGCTATTTGATTTTTAGTTCAAAACAAAAGAAGAAGAAGAATATACAAGTTATTTTTTTTAATTTTTTCGTCCACTTTCATCCCACACAATATGGTTTACACCGAACGTACGGATCGTTATATTGCGCCAAAAGATCAGACCAATAACAATGCAGCGACTGGTAAGGCTTCTGATGGCACCAACAAATATTCGACCCAGCGCTCCTCCAGCAGTTCGAGTAGCACCAGCAATTCGAGTTGGGAGAGTAAAAAATCAACGTCTGAGGATAAATGGAAGTACAATAATATGGTACGCAATGAACGTGAAAAATTCAATAGCTTACATTTTTGCTAAGTTCCGAGTCGTACTGAGCGAATGTCCATCTTATCAGCGCCTTATAACTCCTGCGCCCACACCCCATCCACCACACCCATCCCCACCTTTAGTTTAGTTATTTGAATTTTTTTTTTAAAGCTAAGTTGTTGATCTTCAAGTGAGAACCTTGCTATTGTGATCCATAATGTAGTTATAAGTTCAAACAATTTTATATATCTGGAAAAGAAATAAAATGCAGTTTGTAGTTAAAGAAATAACCACACCTTTGAATTCGGCCTTATCACCGAATAGTTTAGTTAAACCGTCCAGGTATATAAGAGCATGGAGATTAGTTCGGTACGTTCTCAAAAGAGAGCTCCACCAGCAAGTTGTGGCCGATCCAGGAAGGTATTTACTTTTTGAATTTTGATGGTCTAATTCAATTGGAAGAAAAGTGAGCTGAGGACCATAAAATGCGTGTAGGAGTTTATAGTGAAACTGCGCCGACCGGTAAGTCATGCAGAGAGTGGTGACAAAGAGCGTAAGATATGAGAAATTCGAAACATTATCAACGGATTGGACAATGTTCAGCTCCACGTTACTGCAACAGTCAAAAAGAACCTAGAAAAGCTGAAATGGGAAGTTTTACCCCACCAGCCTTATAGTCCAGAACTTGCTCTTTCACTACAGGCTTTTCCAACGGAGGCAAAACGATTTCCAACAAATATATAAGTAATCTAAAGATGATGTCTTTTCAATAAAATTAGATCAATTCAGTCTTTTCCAAACGGAGATTACTTGAATCAAAGAAAGCCTTCTGGCTCTGAGAAAGAGTGATTATAAAATTAACTATATTTACTACGTGTACATATATATACACAAATAGCCAAACAGCTTTTGAATCACAAAAGCCTCTTATGAAAACATCGAAGATGGAAGTGTTTTGAATTTTTAGTGGGACTAACGTCCTACTTCACGACAAATCTGCAATGGGTTCCAGCATACAGAGATATTCCAGCTAACTTTGAAGCAGACGAGCTAGCCACCGGCTACTTGCGGATGTCTGCAGATATAGCAGTGTCTCGGTGGAAACAACTGCTTTATACAGCAGGCCGACTAGAGTGGCCAGAATGGCATATGCATCGGTTATGCTGAACATTGAAATTCAAAAGGAATGACATAATAACTCCAATAAGAGTGTGCTAATGGAACACTGTCTTACCAGCAGGCACGCTAACAGACTAGGCTTACCATAAAATGATTACTCTAGAAATTGGCAAAGGGTAGAGAAAGAAGAGAAAGAGGAGACAGTAGCAACTACTCCCACGGTTTTCTTGACGATGTTCTGGAAGTTAATTTTCGTTTTGAATAACTTTATCAAGACCACAGGGTGGTTAGGTTGTTGCTCCCAATTCAGGATACAGATACTTTTTTGCATATTTTAAAAGAGTTACAGCATTCTCTGAGGCAAAGGTACTCCTCGTTGAGGGGAACATTCCTTTGTAATTTTCATCTGGATTGTTTCATTATCTATCCACTCCACTTGCCTCTTACTCTCTGAGAGCACTCATCAAGTAACTCGGTATAAGCGAACTGTGAGACGGCATTTCGAGTTCGAAGCGTACATCTACAAATGAGGCTATGGATTTTCGGATGACAAAAAAAAAAAAAACGGCTTGTACGTTAACGATTGCCGTGCCTTAGTGGAGAGGAAACATACGAAAGGTTTTCATGTTCACGCAAGCTAGAGAAGATGACTGTCAGGGATATTGCTGGAAAATTCTACAAAAAGATGCGGCAACATACAGACAGTTTCAAGACCGGAACCCGATTCCTCAATCGTTGTCGATGGAACAGACATTTCATTACCCAAACATAAAGAGGTTCGAATAAAAATTTCTTGCTTGAAAAACTACACAGCGACGGTGGCCGATTGTTTTGCCGTTCGAGCTATTCAAATATTGCGGCACACACGATTGTAGTCTAAGTGTGCTGTGTTCAATCCACACAAAGATGTACCCCACAGTCTATGCCAATTACCGTGGAATTAACTTACTCAATATTGCATATAAGATTCGATAGAGCTAGCCTACTGTTAACAAACTGTGGCTACAGACCTGGTAAATCCATCAGATCAGATATTTAACAGTAATAACAACTTGGAAATCCTACGCAGAATCACTCCAACAGGTGTTATTTTGGACTGAAAAGGTAAAAAAAAGTAAAGTCACTAATCAGAGAAAAGTTTTGCATAAGATTCTTGGACTTTTGCGAATTAGCAACGTTGAATACCGGATATTGACATAGCTCAGCGAATCAAGAGACAGTGGCTACGCTGACTGATGCCGAGCCCACCTATGAAAGCAGACAAAAATGAAAACTTCCACGCTATTGGAAAGGGTAGGTGGTGGGTAGAACCAGGATACACTTTGTCCAATTAGTGTCAAAGAGCGAAAAATAATAAAGAGAAAGAAAACAATGAATTTCCGAAATTGAAATTGTAGGAATATTAGTATTCACAAAAATTTTAATTGAACGAAAATACGACTATATACGAGTAAATGGATATGTATAAGTCTTTTAAAAGTACAAATTTTCTTATTTCTTCTGATATAATAAATAAAATGGAATAGAGATCTTCAACGGCTTTACTGCCTAAATCTATTTTTCACCTTTACTTAGGATTTCCTCCTTTGAAAAAAATATAAAAAAAATTTAAATATTTGATGGGCGGTGAAAGATCTTTCTTTAAGAACAAATGTTGTTTGCTTAAATTCTTCAAAAAAACTGGTTGGCAACGCTATGTGGAGTTTATGTAGTATGTGTGTGCATATGTAAGTGTATATGTGTGATTCTATTGAGCATGCTAGCATTTCGCCTAAAAGCATGCAATATTCCTCGTTCGTTGAATGGACTTGCCACACAACGCCTTGAAGAAAATTACTTTTAGTTGATACAAACTTCTCTATTGAAGTATTTATTTGTATTTTTTGAGATTAAACGCACACTTTTCTAAGTATATATGTATATATATTTGAATTATATTTTATGTGTATCAGTTTTGTCTGCCCATCAAATTTCAGTGAGTGTATTTTTTCAAAGCAAATTTTTTTTTATACTTTTCCCCGGAAGGAAACTTTTAACCACAAAAAGGAAAACCCAATTTTTATTACATAGCAGCGGCAGGACTATAAAGCAAAAAAAACGCTCATGATCTAACTTATATTTTTAGACACTTCTCTACTTCGTCTAACAGCCACAAGGCTACGTACATAATACCAATATTCCTGTCTACAGGCGAGCAGCTCCTGTTGTGTGCCGAACGGTCGCGTGTCATTGCAGCGACCCATCAGCAACGATAGCGTGACGGTTACGCCTGATGAAAGACGCCCCCATACAGCTCTACATGTGCACATACATATGTGCATACATACTTACGGGCTTAAACAAGTGACCTGGCCGAACAAGTGTATCTCTGCTGACACAGTATCCAGCACCCAGCACCCAGCATCCATTAGCAGCATCCATTGTAATAGTAGCAACAATAACAAATGCAATAACAACAACAATTGAAAAAAAAAAAAATAAATCAAACATATTGTGTGCACGACGTTCCACCACAGCGACGATAAACATTTTTCGCACTTTGCCATTATTTGATTGTTGTCGTTGTTGCTGTTTTTTAATTTTTAACTAAGTATATACACATTTTATTTTGAAATTGATTGCGTATGGGCGGTTGGCTGTTGGGTAAATGACTGCGAGCATTTCAGCTCGATGAATGAATGGACAAACTGACAGTCGGTCACGTGCAATGGGAGCGTGGCAATAACCTTTGGCGAGCCCACACATCGATGAGCGAACACTTGACAGGAGTGCAGATATATAGAGTTTTGGGAATTTATACATATATATTTTTTTAAACCTATTAAGACAGTGTTCTGTTACCTAAGGGTTGGGAGAGCAATGATGTCAGGGTGTGTGTGTGTATGTATATACGAGCTTGAGCCTGCACTTGTATTGGGATGCGTTTCAGGGCCGACACATGTTGCACGTTTATTGCCAACGATTTATCATAGACAAGCGCAAATGTGCGAAAGATACCTACACACATACATATACATAAATATACATGTGTATAGACACTTAATTTTAAGGTATATAAATTGATAGCATCAACATTTACGGTGGTATGAATACATATGTACATACGAGTACATACATGAGTATGTTCAAGTGAAAATGAAATCAAATCTACACTTCCAAAGGGTTAAAAACCGCTGCTATACTCATCCGCATGTTACTTGTCAAGATTAATTTTCAAACGTCAACACAAGTTGTATCACAATTTGCAAATTTGTTTACAGCCAGAAATTTTTTTTTTGCAGGAAAATTTCTTATTTGCAGAATTTGTTTTTTTTTGCTTTTTTATTTTATCTATGGTGCACTCAAATTCAGCACATAAATAATATTTCACCGTTAGATGTGACATGCAAATTATAAATTCGCCATCTTTTGGCTCGTTCATCATGTTCTATTTCTTCTTCTTTTTTTTTGCTTAGCTTTCTCTCGCCTTTTGATCATACATCACAGCGGGAGTTAACACAAAGTTTAAATGTCATGCACATAAATAGGTATGTATGTATGAATATAAATATTAAATAAACTCAGCTTGCTGATGAAGGCATAATTGCTGCTCAAACCAATATTGGCCTGCCGGAAAATAATTCCATTAATTTTTCGTTGAGAATATACATTACTTTTTAGTCACCTGCCCAACTCATAAATCCAAGACGATTTAAGAGAAGAAAAAATAATTCTACACAGAGTTACTGAGACTTAACATTAGGGTGCGCTCGAAATCAGACCAGGCAGCAGTATGTAGAGATTGGCTGAGAAAAGAAGGTGTTTAAGCATGCATCATGCCTAGATTCCTCAACATACTTTAGGCATTAGCTTTTTGCTTTTTGCTTCTTGCCATTTGGTTTACTTGTGCCTATTTGCTTAATTTGTAATTCTCAGATGGACAGTGAAGCAATAAATTTAAAGTGCCTGTTAGATGCTAAACTCAGAGCGCCTGGTAAGACGCTTTGGCAGCTTGCATGTTTGCTTGCTTAGACGCTTAATAGCACCAGGAACTGCTGAAAAGCGCCAGTTCGTAAGTGGTGTAAGCTTGACTCACAAAACAGCTTGAAGCATCCCCTGGCTTCACAAATTTTGAAGCCCAAAATGGTCACCCCGCACCATCTCCAAATTTTCAGCCGGAGCTCGTCCCAAAGCT